CAAAATCAGGAGCAAACACAAGATCCAGGTTCGATTTAACACAAGTGCATAACATTCGTGATCTAATCCCATCTGTGAAGGATAGGATCCCTGACATGCAATACCTTGGCGTCTACAAACTAAGCAGTAGTTACATTGGGGAACCTAAGCGGCATGTCTCTGCCCGTGTTCGTGAGCATAAGGCAGATTTGAAACACGGGAGGAGCAACACTTCAGCCGTGGCTGATCATTGTCTGAATGCGGTTGGCTCACACGAAATTGATTTCTCTAAGACGAAGGTACTTTGCAAGCTCACTGGCTATCAACAAAGATTCGTTCATGAAGCCATCCATATATGTAGACACAGACACAATTTCAACCGAGAGGATGGGTACGAACTCAGCAATCATTTGAAGGATGTCATCAACCAGTTTAAGTCATAACTGGCTGTGATGTTTTCATCTTGTCACCTTTCGATGTTAGTTTTATTTTATTTTACCAATTTCTCCAGGGCTCATGTGCTTACCCTTCTCTTGATTCTCCGATTTCATATTTAAAATAACCATAACCGCTTGAAGTTGGGCGTACTACAAGTACAAAAAGTTGTTAATTTCCCACATTAACATAACCATCTCCACTTGTGCTGGCCCCAGGGCCCTTGTGCCCCGCCCATGTCGTTGGGCGCACTGCAAGTTAACAATTTGGTTACGCCCATCTTAAACCTTTAAAAACAGCTTTCCTCTGGAAGCTTTTCCCCCCTTTTTTCCACCTGAAGACGATCGCTTGTGTTGTGATCGAAACGTCCTGTTTTTTTGTATATTTGTATTCATTTTGAACCTATCTACGTGACTTTACCGAAAGACCCAAATAATTAGTAATGTTTCCTCCACATATCTGGTCTTTTCCATAAAAAAATGAAGTACTTCTGCACATCCTGCAAGCCACACGCCCTTCTGTAAATAGATAACTCCAGCAACATTGTTTGGTCCGGTTTCGACATTCTGCGTCTCAACAGCAGTCAGGTCTACCTGAGCCATTGCTTCAATGCAAGCGACACTTTTGCCGGGTTTTGACATTCAGGGTTTCATCGGCAGTGGCGAGGCTGACACAAACCAGTAACGCTGAACTTCCAGACGAGACTCGCGTCTCAATATCAGAGGGAAAGTGTAGCCACAAACCCCCATCGATTGCGCTGTCCCCCCAACTGTCGACACTTTTGACAGGGGTTGCCCGCAACTGCTCGCACGCAACTTGGTTGCAAGGATAAGGGGCCATCCATTTAGTACGTACGCAAAAACCTGTCTAAACTTGACCCCCCCCCCCCCCCCCGGAAACCCATAGAAAGGACGATATTTAATCCACGCAGGAACGATCAAGGATTAATAATATTACCGTGTTTAGGCAAACAGGGAGTCCACCGCCGGCTACATTAAAGAATTACGTTGCGTACCTTGGCCACTTATTTTGCCGAGCTGCGTGATAGCTGCAATCAGGGGTGCACAGTGGCACACGAAGTGACACCTCTACCACAGTCACACTTCTCCCATAGTACTTGGTCTGACAGCTGGAGACACTGAACTGTGGCTCATTTGAAGGCCAATGTAGACAAATTATCGAGGCTTCACCACCCCCCCACCCACGTTTCCTATGCGTGCGTACATTGTCAGTAACCCCCCCCCCCCCCCCCATATGCAAGCGTACGCATTTGGGTTAATTCTAGATTTGAAGCTTTCGTGACTGCAAGGATTCATACTCTTAGGTTCTTTCGGTAAAGTCACGTAGGATTTGCCCCGGTACAGCCGGAAGGAAACACAGTGTAACAATGAATATATTTTACTTGTTCCTGGGTAGTAAGTGTTGTTTGCTAATTGCTTATGCCTCAAAAGTACAGAAAACGGCTGTTATTCACCCAAAAAAAGCTTTTGTGACCAGGGCCGTGATATTTTTCACTTTAAAACGTGGTGTGCATTTGTGTCATTCACATAAAGTGCCTGGTCACAAAAGCAACGTTTTGGGGGGAATAAAATCAATTTTCGATACTTCTAAGGTATAAGCAATTACAAAATAACACTTACTACCCATGACCAAAAAGTCGTGTTACATAGTGAAATCGGTATTTGTGTGTGTCGGGGTGGCAGGAGTTGATTTCGTGCAGTCGCTCAGGATCTGCTGCAGTTGCCGGCATTGTTGCGTGGAGTTGTATTGCGGTCACCTGCAGCAACACAGTGCCCCCCCCCCTTTCTCTCCACCACCACAGTGCCCCCCTTCTCTCTGCACGACAGTGCCCCCCCTTCTCCACCACAGTGCCCCCCCTTCTCCACCACAGTGCCCCCCTTCTCTCCACAGTGCCCCCCCTTCTCCACCACAGTGCCCCCTCCTCTCTCCACCACAGTGCCCCCCTTCTCTCCACAGTGCCCCCCCCTTCTCCACCACAGTGCCCCCCTTCTCTCTCCACCACAGTGCCCCCCTTCTCCACCACAGTGCCCCCCTTCTCTCTCCACCAGTGCCCCCCTTCTCCACCACAATGCCCCCCTTCTCTCTCCACCACAGTGCCCCCCTTCTCTCTCCACCACAGTGCCCCCCTTCTCTCTCCACCACAGTGCCCCCCTTCTCTCTCCACCACAGTGCCCCCCTTCTCCACCACCACAGTGCCCCCCTTCTCTCTCCACCACAGTGCCCCCCTTCTCTCTCCCCCACAGTGCCCCCCTTCTCCACCACCACAGTGCCCCTCTTCTCTCTCCACCACAGTGCCCCCCTTCTCCACCACCACAGTGCCCCCCTTCTCTCTCCACCACAGTGCCCCCTTTCTCCACCACCACAGTGCCCCCCTTCTCTCTCCACCGCAGTGCCCCCCTTCCCTCTCCACCACAGTGCCCCCCTTCTCTCTCCACCACAGTGCCCCCCTTCTCTCTCCACCACAGTGCCCCCCTTCTCTCTCCACCACAGTGCCCCCCTTCCCTTTCCACCACAGTGCCCCCCTTCTCCACCACCACAGTGCCCCCCTTCTCTCTCCACCACAGTGCCCCCCTTCCCTCTCCACCACAGTGCCCCCCTTCCCTCTCCACCACAGTGCCCCCCTTCTCTCTCCACCACAGTGCCCCCCTTCTCTCTCCACCACAGTGCCCACCTTCCCGTTCCACCACAGTGCCCCCCTTCTCCACCACCACAGTGCCCCCCTTCTCTCTCCACCACAGTGCCCCCCTTCTCCACCACCACAGTGCCCCCCTTCTCTCTCCACCACAGTGCCCCCCCCTCTCTCCACCACAGTGCCCCCCTCCTCTCTCCACCACAGTGCCCCCCTTCTCTCTCCACCACAGTGCCCCCCCCTCTCTCCACCACAGTGCCCCCCTTCCATCTCCACCACAGTGCCCCCCTCCTCTCTCCACCACAGTGCCCCCCTTCTCTCTCCACCACAGTGCCCCCCTTCTCTCTCCACCACAGTGCCCCCCTTCCCTCTCCACCACAGTGCCCCCCTTCCCTCTCCACCACAGTGCCCCCCTTCTCTCTCCACCACAGTGCCCCCCCCCCTCTCTCCACCACAGTGCCCCCCTCCTCTCTCCACCACAGTGCCCCCCCCTCTCTCCACCACAGTGCCCCCCCTTCCCTCTCCACCACAGTGCCCCCCCCCTCTCTCCACCACAGTGCCCCCCTTCCCTCACCACCACAGTGCCCCCCTTCTCCACCACCACAGTGCCCCCCTTCTCTCTCCACCACAGTGCCCCCCTTCCCTCACCACCACAGTGCCCCCCCCCTCTCTCCACCACAGTGCCCCCCTTCTCTCACCACCACAGTGCCCCCCTCCTCTCTCCACCACAGTGCCCCCCCCCTCTCTCCACCACAGTGCCCCCCTTCCCTCTCCACCACAGTGCCCCCCTTCTCCTCCACCACAGTGCCCCCCTTCTCCTCCACCACAGTGCCCCCCTTCTCTCTCCACCACAGTGCCCCCCTTCTCTCACCACCACAGTGCCCCCCTTCCCTCACCACCACAGTGCCCCCCTTCTCTCCACCACAGTGCCCCCCTTCTCTCACCACCACAGTGCCCCCCTTCCCTCACCACCACAGTGACCCCCTTCTCTCCACCACAGTGCCCCCCTTCCCTCACCACCACAGTGCCCCCCTTCTCTCTCCACCACAGTGCCCCCCTTCTCTCACCACCACAGTGCCCCCCTTCCCTCACCACCACAGTGCCCCCCTTCTCTCTCCATCACAGTGCCCCCCTTCTCTCTCCACCACAGTGCCCCCCTTCTCTCTCCACCACAGTGCCCCCCTTCTCTCTCCACCACAGTGCCCCCCTTCTCTCACCACCACAGTGCCCCCCTTCCCTCACCACCACAGTGCCCCCCTTCCCTCTCCACCACAGTGCCCCCCTTCTCTCTCCACCACAGTGCCCCCCTTCTCTCTCCACCACAGTGCCCCCCTTCTCCACCACCACAGTGCCCCCCTTCCCTCTCCACCACAGTGCCCCCCTTCTCTCTCCACCACAGTGCCCCCCTTCTCCACCACCACAGTGCCCCCCTTCTCTCTCCACCAGTGCCCCCCTTCTCTCTCCACCACAGTGCCCCCCTTCTCTCTCCACCACAGTGCCCCCCTTCCCTCTCCACCACAGTGCCCCCCTTCCCTCTCCACCACAGTGCCCCCCTTCTCTCTCCACCACAGTGCCCCCCTTCCCTCACCACCACAGTGCCCCCCTTCCCTCACCACCACAGTGCCCCCCTTCTCTCACCACCACAGTGCCCCCCTTCTCTCACCACCACAGTGCCCCCCTTCCCTCACCACCACAGTGCCCCCCTTCTCTCACCACCACAGTGCCCCCCTTCCCTCACCACCACCAGTGCCCCCCTTCTCTCTCCACCACAGTGCCCCCCTTCCCTCTCCACCACAGTGCCCCCCTTCTCTATCCACCACAGTGCCCCCCTTCTCTCTGCACCACAGTGCCCCCCTTCTCCACCACCACAGTGCCCCCCTTCTCTCTCCACCACAATGCCCCCTTCTCTCTGCAGTGCCCCCCCTTCCCTCTCCACCTGGAGACGGCGTCCACGGAGCCGGCGATGGCCGTGCCTCCTCCGCCTCCTCCTCCCGCGCCGCCGTCGTAGAGGACCCCGTTGATGTCGAGCAGCAGCCCCGCAGGCGGCGCGCCGCGAGCCCACAGAGGCGCCGGGACCGCCATTGGTGGCGGGGGGTGGGGGGAGCGGGGGGTGGGGGAGGGGTAAAGGGGGAGTAGGAGGGGGGGTGGGTAGGCGGGTGAGGGGTGAGGGTAGGAGGGGAGGGGTAAGGGGGAGTAGGAGGGGTAGGGGGAGGGGTAAAGGGGGGTAGGAGGGTAGGGGGTAGGGGTAAAGGGGGGTAGGAGGGGGATGGGGGTAGCGGGGGGTGGGTGGGGGTAGGAGGGGGAGGGGTAAAGGGGGGTAGGAGGGGGAGGGGGTAGGGGGGTGAGGGGTGAGGGTAGGAGGGGAGGGGTAAATGGGGGTAGGAGGGGTAGGGGTAAAGGGGGGTAGGAGGGGGAGGGGTAAAGGGGGGTAGGAGGGGGAGGGGGTAGGGGGGTGAGGGGTGAGGGTAGGAGGGGAGGGGTAAAGGGGGGTAGGAGGAGGGTAGCGGGGGTGGGGGTAGGGGTAAAGGGGGGGTAGGAGGGGTAGGGGGAGGGGTAAGGGGTAGGGGTAAAGAGGGTGTGAACACCGAGAAGTGGGCACTGCTTGCCAGATCACAAAGGGAAACTCTCGCTCTCTTAGAGGCCACCTGTGGATTTGGGATGTTGTGATCTCTCATCTCTCTCTCGTCTCTATCTGTCTCTCTCGTCTTTGTCTTCTTTTAGTCTCTCTCATCTCTCTGTCTATCTAATCTCTGTCTCTATTTCATCTCTCTGTGTCTCTCTGGGGCCGTCCATAAATGACGTCACGCGATTTTGGACGATTTTTGACCCCCCCTCCCTTCGTCACACGACGTCACAAAAAGTCAGACCCCCCCCCTCAAATATGACGTCACAAAGCTCTGTCCCCCCCCCCAAAATAAAACATGCTTCAAATCGCTTTAAACTATTGTCATTGTAGTGCGTATTTAATGTGGCGCTGCACTCTGATGTTGTAGGAGAAAACATTGAAAAGTCTATTTAATGAAGTAGAACGTGTTGTCTATATTTATTTAAAGTTGCGCATTTTAATGTGACGTCACATTTCTCAAACCCCCTCCCCTCGTCACAAATGTCTGACCCCTGCCCCCCTAGGTGCGTGACGTCATTGTGTGTGTGTCACCTCTGGATTTGTGTTTTTGTGTGTGTGTTTGTGTGTGTTTGTGTTCATCTCGGTCAGTTGACCCTGGCACCTGTTGGGTCTGCCCCGTGACCTCCTGCCAGCGGGCGTTCGACACTTCACGTGGCCTCAAGGTGCACATGGCCTGGCACATGCGTCGTGGTGACGTCACTGCCACTCAGTAGCGAATGACGGTTGTTGTGTGTTTGTGTGTGTGTCTGTTTGTGTGTGTGTCTCTGTGTGTGTATTTGTGTTTGTGTGTGTTTGTGTGTGTGTGTTTGTGTTTATGTTTAAGTCGTGGTTTCGTGGTAATTAATTGAAGGTGGAGGGGTTATCAGCCCCTCGCACCCGTCCAGAGCCCCCGTTTAGCCACTGTGGTGGTCACAGACGCCATGAGGGGAGAGGCCAATGAGGCATTGGCCCTCCCCCCACACAGCACTGTCCACCACAGAGTTGCCCATCCGGCACCGCGAGGAGGTAGAGATGTAGCGAATTCCAACAAGACCTACATCTCTGCTTTATTGACCTGGTCAAGGCCTATGTTACCATCAGTAGGCCTGGGCTCTGGGTTGTTCTTCGTGCTTTCGGAGTCCCTGACCCTCTGCTCACGACCATTAAGGACCTTCATGATGGTGAGCGGGCCCGGGTAAAACTACGTGGCCGGGAGTCAGAGCCTTTCCCTGTACACCTTGGGGTGCGGCAGGGATGTCCTCAGGCTCCCACATTATTTAACATCTATTTTGACCGCGTAGTTCGTGAAGCCTTCAATAGCTGTACCGGGGGAATTTCCATTTGGTACAGATATAATGGGAGGCTGATCGATGCCCGGGTGCGATCAAGGGATGGCTCCCTATTGGTCAACCACGTTATGTATGCCGATGATTTGGTAATCGCTGCTCATTCAGAGGAGGAGTTGGAGACACTGCTGCTGAGACTGGAGCGTGCCACTAAGAGGTGGGGCCTTACCATCAGCCCCACCAAAACTAAGCACCTACCTGGGTATTTTGTACCATCGGACATTCTACCCCCACAACTCCCAATCGGTGATGAGGCAGTAGTGGAGAGAGTGGAGAGTTTCCCATACCTGGGCAGTGTGCTTATGACCGGCTCCAGTTTAACAGCAGAGGTCTCACTCCGAATCAGTCGAGCGGCAATATCTTTTCATCGGTTGCGTAACGCTGTGTGGAAGCTACCTGGTCTGTCACTCCGCACGAAGCTTCAGGTCTTCTCGGCCATAGTCATTCCATCCCTTCTCTACGCTTGCGAAACGTGGACCCCCCTAATGGAGCATCTTCACCGGTTGATAACATTTAGGCTGGCTTGCCTACGATCCATCCTGGGTTTGACCAGGCTGGATTGTGTGAGGAGCTCACAAATCCTTGAAAGATCTGGGCAAAGTCCCATCGGTGAGCTGCTCCGGCAGGCAAGGCTGCGTTGGCTGGGTCATGTAGCCCGCATGCCCAGCCACCGCATGCCTTAACAGCTTTTGTTCTGCCGGATCGAGGGGGCTAAACGGGCGCGGCACGGGCTAGAAAAGAGATGGAGTGATGTGGTACAGGAGGACGTGGAGCTGAGTGGACTTGCCGATGAATGGTACCAGCGGTGTCAAGATCGGCCTCTGTGGAGGAGGCTCGTGAAGGACGCTACTGGGCAGTTGGAGGCAGTCGCCCTCCAACAACAACGGAGGGCGGAGGAGCGACGCTCACAACAACGAGCGGAGCGCCGGGTGGCTAAAGCACAGCAAGTTGGCACAGTAGGGGGCACAGGTGGTGCATCAGCCAGTCATCTTGGTCATCTCGGTCAGTCGACCCGTGGCACCTGCTGGGTCTGCCCCGTGACCTCCTGCCAGCGGGCGTTCGACACTTGACGTGGCCTCAAGGTGCACTTGGCCTGGCACAAGCGTCGTGGTGACGTCACCGCCACTTAGTGGCGAATGGCGGTTGTTGTTGTTGTATTTGTGTGTTTGCGTGTGTGTGTTTGTGGGTGTTCTCTCCCCCCTCTATCCCGCATTTGGAATCAACGCGCATCGATCGATTCCAAGCTGCCAGGCTCAGCAGCTCAGCAGCTCGGCACCGCCCCCCAGTGGCAGAGCAAAGATTAAACACAGAGACCCCCCCCACCCCACACACGTCGGATATCAGCAGCCTTTGGCCGCTGTTGGTACAACACCGACATTAAGGCCGGCAGGGCGGCAAGAGAGGATGAGGATGCAACGCCCGTCGGCCGTCTTTGTATCCCCGGTGTTGACGTTTACACAACGCCCCAAGGCTACTTACTCATTTGGACGCCGAATTGACCCTGGGCGCACGACCAAGTCGAACGAATTCGCGCCCCCCCCCCGCCACTGTTTTATTCGCTCGTGAGCTGCTGGGACTGAACTCGGCTCACAACAACAACCTCACCACCACCACTACCATCACCGCCGCCGCCGCCGGCTTTCAAAGAGCGCAGTGGCGTTAACCGCTGCGCCACCGCTCCCCCTGGCGGAGGGACATCTCGCACGCGGCACGCTCGGAGGGGAATTCCTCGGCTTCCCCCTGGGTGCAGGGGGGGTGTTGGGGGGGTGCAGGGGGGGGTGTAGGGGGGGTGCAGGGGGGGTGCAGGGGGGGTGTTGGGGGGTGCAGGGGGGGGTGTAGGGGGGGGGGTGTAGGGGGGTGCAGGGGGGGTGTAGGGGGGGGTGCAGGGGGGGATGTAGGGGGGGTGTAGGGGGGTGCAGGGGGGGATGTAGGGGGGGTGCAGGGGGGGTGCGGGGGGGTGCGGGGGGGGTGCAGGGGGGGGGGGGTGTAGTGGGGTGGGTGTAGGGGTGTGTGCAGGGGGGGCGTTCAAGGGGGGGGGGTGCAGGGGGGGGTGCAGTGGTGGGTGTAGGGGGGGTGCAGGGGGGGGGTGTAGGGGTGTGTGCAGGGGGGGGCAGGGAGGGGGTGCAGGGAGGGGGTGCAAGGGGGGGGGGGTGCAGGGGGGGGTGCAGGGGGGTGCAGGGGGGGTGTATGTGGGGGGTGCAGGGGGGGTGCAGGGGGGTGTATGGGGGGGATGCAGGGGGGGTGCACGGGGGAGTGTATGGGGGGGTGCAGGGGGGGTGCAGGGGGGGTGCAAGGGGGGGGGGGGGTGCAGGGGGGGTGCAGGGGGGTGTATGGGGGGTGCAGGGGGGGTGCAGGGGGATGTATGGGGGGGATGCAGGGGGGGTGCAGGGGGGTGTATGGGGGGGTGCAGGGGGGGTGCAGGGGGGTGTCTTGGGGGGGATGCAGGGGGGGTGCAGGGGGGGGTGCATGGGGGTGCAGGGGGGTGTATGGGGGGGTGCAGGGGGGGTGCAGGGGGGGGTGCAGGGAGGGTGTATGGGGGAGTGCCAGGGGGGGTGCAGGGGGTTGCGGGGGCAGGGGGGGTGTATGGGGGGGCAGGGGGGGGGTGCAGGGGGGGTGTATGGGGGGTGCAGGGGGGTGCAGGGGGGGGTGTATGGGGGGTGCA